GGGGGAGGGAGAGGGGGGCAAAAAGGGACCCCGGGCGGCTGCCTCCCACAAAGGATAACCAGTTTTAAAGGGATCGAACTCGCTCTGGGCCTTTACGGGCGTGTGTGGCGTCTGGGGGGCCCCTGAGCGGGGCCAACGTTGAGGTAAAAATGAGTGGAATATGGAGAGCGAGCCCTAGCCGTGCAGACCGGGGAAGCCTCTGGAACGGCGGCCGCGCGAGGGGCCCTTTCCCTGCCTCGGCCGCTGTCGAGGCTCCGAAACCCCCGGCATAAAGGAAGCATCGGGGTCCTGATGTCTCTCTCCGGGCATTCGCCTTAGGAACAACTTTGTCAAGTCTCGCAGAGCCATTTTGCATTGTTAATGCCCTTATTATTGTAGCTGAGGGTTTAGCGAGGTCCTGTTTTCAATGATCTCCTCCCAGACTGCCCTCTGAATAAATGAAAAATGGGGTCAAGCTCATTCCGATACACTTTATTCTGCTTCCCACTCCTTAGATTCTCCTTAAATATATATGTGTGTGTGTATATATATATATATATATATATACTCGGGTAACGCCATTGGATTTTTATTTGCATCGGTGCATCGGTGTTGGAAGAGATTAACCAGTGGTCGGCAAACTCATTAGTCAGCAGAGCCAAATATCAACAGTACGACGATTGAAATTTCTTTTGAAATTTAAGCCAAATTTTTTAAGCTTAAACTATATAGGTAGGTACATTGTTATTAACTTAATTAGGGTACTCCTAAGGCTTAGGAAGAGCCACGCTCAAGGGGCCAAAGAGCCGCAGTTTGCCGACCACTGGATTAAACCGTAGTGTCTAGAAAAGTCTCAGACACTGAAGGAAAGAGGCCTGGCTTCGGATCACAGGTCGGCCACTTCCTGAAAGGTAACCCCCGGCCCCTCGGAGCTTGCCAGTGGCTTCACCTGTGACTTAGGGATGAGCACACCTTGGGAGGATTAGGTAACAACATGGATCTAGCTGAGAACCAGACCTGGTCTTGGAAACTTTCAGTACACGAAATACAATGTTTTTTCCCTTGCTTTTCAGTTATTGCTTTGCTGTTTAAAAACTCTAAATTCTTCCTAAGCTGAAATAACTTTGTCTTAACATTCATTTCACAATCAGAAAATGAATGACCTTCTGTGCCTTAACATTGCAAAACGTATTGACTGGTGCCGTTCGCCAGGAAAGACCCAGTGGAGCAGGGCACGTGTTCGTACTGGCCACCCAAGTAACTGTACGGCTGGGGTACAGCCGGGTGTTCCCGAAAGACCTTCTGGTCCTAATGACCTGTACACCGGAGGTATCCACTTATCCATAATGTTGTGGTTCTCACTTTCTGGACATTTAATATCAAATCTGTCATTCTCCAGGCAAAACATTCAGGAACCAAGGTGGGTTTCTCAGTTCCCTTAGCCAGCGCGGAAGGCTGGGCCTCTCGGCCCAATGCCAAGTCACCACATAGAAAACACGATCGTCCCAGTGGAGACTTGAGGGCAGGGGGGAGAAAAGGAATCAGCTCAAGTCCAGAAGATCTGGATAGCTTTAGTGTTGTTTTCCCCTAAAAGTGAAAATAGATTGGCCTTTTTTCGTGTTGAAAGCCTTTCCTGTTGCATAAGTAACTGTCTCCTGATGAACTTCCTTTTCCTGCCATCTTGGCAAGGCCACATATTATCTTTCCTTCCTTTTTCCTCCTCTTTTTTTATTTTCCAGACGCCTACTTCACTCTTTCTCCTGGTGCTTTTAACTCCTCACAGCACTTCTCTTGACTTCCAAGTCTGAGAGTGAGGGATGGGAGACTGGAGGGAAGACCTCACTGATACACGGCCTCTAGCATCACAAAGCTCAGCAGGAAAAGCAGATCTTAGGAGCCATTGTGACACCTCGAAAAAGTGCTAGATTACGTGTATGTGTAAGGATCCTAAAGGGAACATCACTGAGGTCTCCAGAAAGTAAAGAGTTTTGAAGGATGAGGAAGAGGTTCTGCAGGTTGAAGCAAGCTGAGCAACGTTGCAGCATGAAAGAAAACGAGGCCTAGAAAATACACGCATGGCTGGAATTCGATTTTTGTTTGGGAGTAACTAAAGGTGAGACAGAGGTAAGCAGGAGCCAAGACCAGGAGGGTTTTGTAGGCCAGACAAAGGAGTTTGGTCTTTGTAGGCTAAAAAGAACCTGTGAAGGATTTCCACTAGAGGCATAAGGCAGATTTGTGTTTTTGAAAAGTAATTCTAATTGTGTGAGAGGTGAGATTGAAGATTGGAGGAGGGAGAGACAAGAGGCAGGGAGGCTTAGAAACCAGTTGCAATATTATTGCGTAAGTGAGGTGAGAACTATGATCTGAATGCAATGGCAGAGGAAATATATACAGCAGAGAACAGGTTGAGAAATATTTAGAACGTCAAAAGTTTATAGGACTTGTCTATCTCTCATAACCTCCCCAAAGCTCCTACAACTTCGTCAAAAGTTTATAGGACTTGTCTATCTCTCATAACCTCCCCAAAGCTGCTACAACTTCGTAGAATTTGGAAGTGTCCAGTAAATGCTTATTGTTAAATATTTCCATTCAATTCATGATGTTTTGATATGTATATTCATTTTGTCATGACCACCACAGTCAGGCTAATTCACATATTCATCACCTCATCTAGTTACCATCAGTCCCATTTTTTTTTTTTTTGAGCTTTAAAATTTTGTCCCATGTTGTCTTATTTTCTGATTATGCCATTTGTATATCTTGTCTGTCCTAATTATATCAAACATGTCGTGGGGCTATGCTTTGTCTCATATTGAGGCAGCCTTTGGCATGGGAATCAGATGTTTCCAATATTAATTCTCCGAGGGGCCTTAAGCCATTCATTTGACCGCTCTGGGTCTCACGTGGATCATCTATAAAGTGAGAAGGTTAACTTCCATTATCGCCCCAGGCATTTCTGGGCGCGATGAGCTCTAATCCTACCTTGACCTTTTGTGCTTCCTTGTTCCCCTCTCAGGACTGGCCCCTAACCAGACAAATACACCGTTTTTTATTAAGGATCGCTCGGATAAGTTTCTTTATTCTTACACTATTAATTTCCTAACGCAGCCTTACACAGTTGATGCTTGAAGGAGGCGTGAAGAACGGCGCAGGTCCGCCCGCGCCGGGACTATTTCGGTTGCCCGCGCCGAGCGCGTGGCGGGGGGTTGACGGGCGTTGGGAACTGGGGGGCGGGGGGCCGCAACGCCCACTCGGGCTTTCGGCTCCGCGGGCGCTTGCCCCTGACCCCCTCCCGGTAACCGGTCTACTGAGTAATTTCTCTGTGATCTCTAACAATACCTTCCAGTTGTATAACTTTGTATAGTGTTTAAGGGACAGCCGTAATATCACTTAATCCATAAAGCAAACCAGATTAAGATCGGGCTTGTCCTCACTCTTCCGACGTGAAAATAAAATACTGAGAGGCGGGCATTTGCTCAAGATCATGCAGTTAGAGTGGCAGAGCCAGGCGTCGACCCCGAGCTCCTGCCTCCACATCCCTGTGCCGACCACCTCCCTGGTTTTCAAAATGTGACCCAAGACATTATTTCAAGAAATGTTACTGGATATGGTTGGAAAGGAAAGAATGCTTTGATGAAAGAGATTTGGAAATTGCTAACTTACACAAAGATAACCTGATTACTTTACCGTAGGATTTTTTAAATCCCAAAGAGGCATATTATTTTCTAAACTTATTTGGCCAGAGAAGCCTTTTTTTAAAAAAAAAAAAAAAAGGAGCTGATATCCACGGAAAAGACTTAAAGATATACT